GAGGGATGCAGATTAGGCAGGTCGACATTGCAAATGAGACAGGGATTTAAATATTCCATGCCTAATTTGCATAAAAATGGTCACCATATTTTGCTGACTCAGCACTTTGTCTGCAAAAAGCGACAGTTTAGAAAGGGATCTATTGAGAAAGAAAGCCTTTTTTGACAGATCCTGTAAACCTCCTTGCAGGAGGCATAAGTGATCTGTTGAAAAAGGCTTTCTTTCTCGACAGATCCCCCACTAGACTGCCACTTTTGGCCAACAAAGTGCTGAGTCAGCAAAATGTGGTGGCCATTTTTATGCAAATTATGCACAAATTATCCCTGCCTCATTTGCAATGTCGACCTGCCTAATCTGCATCCCTCTGCCAACAGAGGGATGCAGTCTAGACATACCTGGAATGTCTACACTAGGGAGTTAACAGGTGAGCGTCCACATTACCAAACCTGTTATTTCGAAATAAAGGGCTTGTTATTTCAAAGTAATAACTCTTGCTTGTGAAGAGGAATAGTGCTGTTTGAAAATTGTTATTTTTAGAGTTATTATTTCAAAATAACTCCCTAGTATTGACATGCCCATAGTGTACTAGCTATATCATTATCTAAATTGCTGATGAAGACATAGACCAGAACTAGACTTAGAACTATTCCCTGTGGGACCCCTCTTATTATGTCCTTCTGACATACCTGTGAACCACTGATAACTACTCTCTGGGAATGGTTTTCCAATGAGTTAAGCATCCACCTTATAGTAGCTCTATTTATTTGTATTTTCCCAGTTAGTTTATGAAAAGGTTATGCGCGACTATATAAAAAGCCTTGTAAAATCAAGATACGCTACATCTACCTCTATAATTGCTAAATTATTACTGTGTTATTTATTACTGGTTGTTTAATTATTAACATTGTTAATATGTCAAAGAAAGCTGTTAGGTTGGTTTGATATTTGTTCTTGATTTACTTATTAATTTATTATATTCTAGGTGTTTACAAATTGATCACTTAACTATTTGCTCCATTATCTTTCAGTTACTCACATTAAGCGACTGGGCTGTAATTCTCAGGGTTGTCCTTATTTTCCTTTTTGTAGACAGGCATTACAAGTGCCCTTTTCCAGTCCTCTGGAATCTCTCCCATCTTCCATAACTTTTTGAAGATAATTGCTAATGGCTCAGATATCTCCTCAGTCAGCTTCTTGGGCATTCTAAGATGCATTTCATCAGGCCCTGGTGACTTGAAGACATCCAACTTGTCTAAGTAATTTTAACTTGTTCTTTACCCATTTTAGCCTCTGACTCTACCTAATTTTCACTGGTATTCTCTATAGTAGACATCAAATTGCTACTAATCTTTTCTGGTGAATTCCTTTAAATTAACAGGGTTACTTTGGTGGTTAGCCAACATATACCATTTTGTACCATTATTAACTTTAGAAGAAAACTGAATTTCGCAACATAATTGTATCTTTTGACTAGAGTGTGGGCTCTGGAGTGGGGAAGGGATCTGGGCTTGGGTGTAGGCTTATCTCTAGTGGATCCTATACAGAGGCACAGTGGAGGTCCTGGCACTGTAGTATGTACTGTGTCCCGGAAGCAGCCAGCAGCAGGTCCAACTCTTAGGTGGAGGTGTGAAAGAGGCTCTGAGCACTGCTCTTGCCCACATGCACTGTCCCCGCCCCACAAGCTCTCATTGGCTCCTGTGCCCAAACTCTGCCTCTGGCTACTTCTGGGATGCAGAGCCGTCTGCAATGCTGGGAAAGGCAGGAAGCCTGCCTCAGTACACTCCTCCTCCCCCGCCTAGTCACCTTACAGCAAAGAGACCCAGTGCCTGTTAATCTGTGATCCACTACTGGGTCACAACCCATAATTTGAATCCACTGTTTTAACAAACTTAAGTTAATTTTTCAAAATGAAGAAAATGGAAAAGAACACAAAAAGAAAAAGATTACTGAAAAACACCCTATAAGTAACGTGAATGAAACTGAGTCAAACAAGAAGGCTCCAATGAGAACAAGATAACTTCTATGTGACTTCTGAGCAAAGATATTTCCAGACCCTCACTTGAGAAAAAAAAGGTGCTATTTTTAAAAGTGTCTAAGTGACCTAGGTGGTTAAGCCCCATTTTCAAAAGTGACCGAGGGATGTAGGAAGCTAAATATTACTCGAATATGATGGTTCAAAAATTACTTTTGAACATTCATCATTAGATGCTTTTGAAAATTGTACCCAATACCTAGAAAAACAATTTCTATTCCCAAGTGACACAATATCCATAAGCTCGAAGAAGAAATTTGGGGCCAAATTTCAAACTTATTGAGCACTGTTGCTCCAATTATTTCAGATAGAATGATTAGATGTCAGTTAGCTCCAAAATGAGGCATAGGATTACTACCAATGTGGCATGGTTTATATTGAAAAATTAGGAACATCTTATGTTTATCATTATTCATACGAACTACATGCCAGACCTCTCAAATGAGTGGAAAAAGCAAATGAATGAAAATAGAAAACCACTGTCTGTTAAATGTATAGGTAATGGATACTTCAACTGACTAATCCTAAATTAATGCAAAACACTTCATGGAAGGAAAAAGAGAACAGTACAAAATACTTTTCATAATGAATTTTATTTTTTCCAGTGGTTTTGGAAAGTTGAAACTTGTCTGTATTCCATGTTTGTTGGATTGTCATTGTACTCTTGAGTCTTTCAGTCTCTATACATTTGTGTGGTATCACTGCCAGAGGAGCCGTGGGGGCAATAGTGGTGGGAATTTTACTACATGATTCTTCAATATTTTTTTCATTGTTTTGAAAAAAACCCTTTGTCTTAGATCGACAATGTGATTCTAGATTCAAATAGTCTATCCACTGCCCATTCTCTCTGCAACCATTTCATAACATATTTCTTACTCCATCTCGGAGTTAAAATCTCTGGTGTAGCATCTTACTTTCTGTATTTCTATTTTTAAATCTATCAGCGGATATATTATAAGGTCCAAGGACACAATTGCTGGTCTTCTCTCCTCTTCCTTTTTTTGCTAGAACTCTGACTTAAATGACTGTGCTTGCTGGAATGAAAAATTCTTATAGGGCATAATGATTGCCCAGTGTAACCCCTCTGGCAAACAACATTTCAAATGAGCTTTAGCACTTCCCTCTATGATTTTTTTAAAATAATTTTAAATCCCACAGAGATATCTGGGTGCATTCTTCAATATACATGCACAATGAATGGGGGTGGCGAGCAGTGTTCCATAGTTAGCGAACCCAAGACCTCTCAATCTAAAGAGCTACAGTTTGAACTGAAGGATGAAATTCCTTAGTTGGTAGTAGTAGAAGACTCATACCTTTTGTGGATAAGCCAGAGCAGAGTGTATGTAGCACACACCACACATTAGATCACAAGCATCTAATTCCTCTAGGAATAGAGAGAGCAATTATTCTGCCAACTCTGAAATCATACAGAAATGGTGGAAAAAGAAATGTTTAACCACAAATAGACACAGGTCTGAACAATTTATATGAGGCAAAATTGCCTTGATTATAACAAAACACACTAACCACTTTCAATCAGGAAATAAACCGCCTGGTCACTTTCTTACAAAGATCTAACAATTATGATTGATGCATAACAAGTACCCTGTGCTCCTGGTAGTTTTCCCTGCATAAAGCATGCCTGTAGCAAATAGGGGTGCTAAAACAATTTTTATAGTGGGGGTGTTTAGAGCCATTGAACCAAACTGTGTATAATGGCCATCATTTCAAGTCAGGGGGTGATGCAGTACCTTACCCTCCACCCCCTTTGTTCCAAATGTGCAACAGAGTGCCTGCACTCCATGAAAATTGCCTCCAAGAACAGATTACCTAGCAAAATAAAGCAATTCACAATTACTGATTGAATCCTGTCGCAGGTATTGACGGGATAATACTTATATCCTAAAATTGGGACATAAAGATAAATAATTTCATCACTTAGGTGTCATAGAAAAGAAGACCATTTATTTATTTGATTTTGAATCATTGGCCTCCCAGTCTTCCAAACACTTCTGGAGACCAGATTCTCTGCTGGCATAAACTACCAAAGTCAATTTATATCTGATGAAGATATGGCTCACAATGAAGGGATACTGTTGCCACTGGTTTATCAAGGATCGTGGCTAATTACCACAATAACATTTCATTGTGTACAGGCAGTCCCCGGGTTACGTACAAGATAGGGACTGTAGGTTTGTTCTTAAGTTGAATTTGTATGTAAGTCGGAACTGGTACATATTGTAGGGGAAACTCTAGCCAAACATTTTTTTTTAGTTTTGGATAGCATAGGGAAAGGTTAACTCCCCTCTAATGTTTGTTTTGCTGTCTGTTCCCCTGTTCAGAAGATTTCACATCTATTTCTGTCCCTGTGACAAACTCAGGACTAAAAGAGTAACTCATCAAATACCAAACAGCTCTGCACCATGCTTTGAGCTAATAGCTTTATTTCCACACACCACCCAGGGTTCTAGGAGGAGGGTCCTTTTTTTGCTAACACAATGAGGCCAGCACTTTGTTTGTTTTGGTGGAGTCTTTGTTTGCCCAGGGAGCCCAGCATGTATAGGGGGAGGAGGGGCGGAGAGGCTGCTTTTGTCTGCTGTTCCGCAGCCTGTTGCTCAGGGGAGGGGGCAGCCTGTTGCTGGCAGCGGGCGTGGGGAGGCACTTTTCCTCCGCCCGGCCG